GCCTGCAGCCTGGTGCAAACCTCACTCCCTCTTGGTTACCTGCCTTTTACATTCTTTCATTCCCCACTTTTGTATGCCAGTCTGCAGTATTCAGCTCAGAATCCACTGTGGCTCTTGCTCTTCCTGGGAACACACCTTTTATGCACCATTTATGGAATATGTGCTTGCCAAGCTTTGTGCATCCTCTTACTCTTTATTGCCACTGTTTACTTGAGAGGTTTCTTTTAGACTTACGATTTTAACTTGAACAAATGCATATAGAAAACTTTTATCACTATCGTGTGTGTAAAATCTGAATTACCTGCCATACATAGGTGTTAGCGGTAAAAGAAAAAAAAAAGGAAAAAGAAATTCTTAGTCACTGGTAGTCTCTAACCTGATGTAGCCATGTGATTCTCCAAAGGCTTATTTCTTCTTTTCTGGTTGTCCCCAGGGACATTTTTATTAAAATTCCTAACTCTTTTACGGTTTTTTTGAGCCAAGGAATTATCATTCAAGTCATATCACAGGCTAGTTGTAACTAGACAAGCTATATTACCTCTCCAAGTCCCTGCCACTCCCCACCCCCTGCAACCCTTTTTAAGTATATTACCTAAAATCATCTCTCATACCACCAAAGGTGTGCAATCCACAGTTAGAAAACACTAATCTGTCTCCTTTTTCTGCCATGACCTACCTCAAATTCCTCTGTCTCTTAAGAAACTTTTTCTGACCATACAGACCTCAGTGATCCTCTCACCTGCATTCATAAAGCTACTGTGTCTAATTATCCAAATGTTGCCATGAGACATTTCACTGAAGACAAAGACCATGCTTTATACCAAGTTTTCCTACAGCACCTGGTATGCTGCCTGGCAAACAGCAGGCATTCAACGAATGTTTGTGGTTTGATGAGCAGCAAGGGTCAGCTCTGGTTAAAAGTGTAAAGCAAAGTTTGACTTAGGTACTCTGCCTTCCTACAAAGGGCCATAGACTGTGATTCTCCTCTGAGTTGTTCATTTTCTCCTTTCTCAGAAAATTTGATATGTTTCCTGATTTTCTCAATCTCCCCAAATCACACTTCATATGCATCTCATTATCTTGTTTACTAATTAGCTAAGCTATTTGGTCCTTGCCCTTAGATTTTATGCTACTTACCTGTGTCTTGTAAGATTTTTTTGTTATCTTCTTTCACAGGAAGACAGGCTATTTATACCTGGTAGATGCTCAATAGATAATTTGTTGTATAAATAAATTAATACATGTTGTATTGTTTGTGTCTTGGCATGTCACTTTACATCTTCAGGAAAAATAAGAAATCCTCAAATTAATTCATATAACATTGTTCAAGGGCATTTATTAAGTTTATTAACAAGTATAGATAAGCTTTGACTCAGTTTTGACTCAGAATAATAAAAAAGAAATATTCATTTTGCCTTTCCTCTTTCTTTTGGTCCACTTGGCCAATTTAGATGTTTCTTTCAAGGAGCAATAGCTTTGCACAGAACTGATGGTTCCTTCTCTGTACCCCAAGCAGTTTACACATACTTCTAGTTAGGGGTGACCACCTAATTTGTCATCCAAACCTGGACACATTGAGAATGAAAGGGAGCACAAATAACTATTGAGCTATGACAAGAGGCATCCCTGACAAACTGGGATGTATGGTCATGCTCTCTTGAAAGTAGTTATTTACTAAAGCTGTTCTGGGTGTGGCCTTATTTCTCTTGGCTCCCTTTGTTGCCTAGAACTGTGCCTGGTACATGGTGTGAGAGAAGAAATATTTGAGCTGCTTTGAAAATGCTCATTTAATTATATATTATACTGTCATGTAGAACTCCAACCATGCCATCTGGGGCCTATTGTGAGCTATTTTCTCAGTATTACAAATATATGGCAATGAGCTTAATTGTATGCTTGTGTAATGATAATAGCTAGCATTTACTAGCACTTAGCATGTGCAGGCCCAGGGGTAAGAACTTTCCTTGAGTTCTGTTGGTTGATTTCTCACAACAATTCTTGGAGGTATTACTTTGGTCCCATTAGATAGAAGAAAAGAAGTTTTGGAAAGACTTAAGAACCTTGCTCAGGGTCACCCAGCTAATCAGTGGAGTTTAAACTCCGGACTCTGTATACACCATCTCCCCTATATATTAGAAAAAGCTAGATCAGATTTTAGAAAGTAGTTTTAAAAAATACTAATAGCACACTTTTAGGGAAAATCCACTTGCTTAAAATCTTTTAAAGGAAAATTAATTTTATTTATTAAGTAGAAGACTGCAGAATCAGGCTGGTGTGGCAGCTGTGTCATCTCGTGAGTAGTGATGGCAGTTGATTAGACTAATATACTGCTTGCTGTTATCTTGGTGTTAACATTGCCATTTGTTATGGCACAAATATACCCTGTTAGTTTTGTTGAGACCATTTTCTTATTCATGGACTAATAAGTGTGCAAAAGTTTCTTTTGTACTGTAACAGTTGCATTTAGTTTTAGCCATATTTTCAGTGTGACTAAATTATCAACAGTGTCTATTTTCTACTCTGTCCTTTTGGAATAAGATTTTTGCTTGGTAACAATTTTAAGAACAGGGCAGACACATCCTAATACTGACTCCAGAAAAATTATTGTTTGGTATTATTGTAACTGCAAACCATATTGTAATATTTATGAAACACATTGTTAATGTTTTTTTACAAAAGCAGTCTATTTTATATAAAAAAATCCACATTGTAAGGGATAATCTGAAACCTTAAATTGCTTTATATTAAGGATAAATTAAATATGTAAAGACACTGCTATAAGTACAATACTGAGGAAATAATTTTAAACACAGATTCATACATGAGGTATCCTTGTAGTGACTGGAATTGTCTTAATTGACATTTTCTACTAAGAAGAGGGGTGTATGAATAACTACGGCAACAGAAATTATGTTATCAGGTATACAATCACATATGATGTATTATAAACAAAATATGAAAAATCTGGAGATACATGTTTGCGTAATTGTAAGTCCAGGGAGAGGAAATCCCGGGGCAAAATACCTCTAAAAACTGAAATGAGTCAAAGGGAGAAATAAAGTTTAAAACCTGTTTATTGCTTACAAAACTGCAGCCTGACTCATCTCTCTCTACTGCTCCAGCAGCATCAAAACCGGCCCTCCCCTCACCTGTCAGGTACAGATAAGCCCTTCTTTCCCAGGTAATTACCCATTGATATGGAGATGAACTTCTTTTCACCCCTGAGGAATGATGCAGATGAACTAAAGCCATACTTCTTTCCACCTCTGAATGCCTATTGATATGCAGATGTACTAAAGCCAGGTGAGATATTCTGGAAATGTTACAATTTTACCCACAATAATGAATAATAATCTATGAATAAGTGATAGCAAATGTTTTACTCAAGGCATTCACACAAGAGGACTACCTTTGTAATTCAAAGGGAAGATTATAAACGTATGTCAAGTTCAGGAATCTTCTGGGGTTTTTTTGGTCCTAGCAATTTTTAGAATTAATAGGCCGTTGACTTTCACACTAGAAAGTTTCCTTTAGTTTATCACCAGATTCCTGTTCAGTGAAATTGGCTGCAAGGACATCACTGGTCAGAAAAACTGCATTAAATGTCAAGTTAATCATTGTACCCAGGGTAACTAGCAAATCAAAGTGGTTATGTTAATGGTGCAGATGAGGATCATAGGGTTAATCAATAGAAATTGTAACCAAGAGGAAGTTTAAAAAATTAACCATTTTTTGTTGCTTTGCACTTTTTATTCTCTCAGGGGATTTAAACTTTTTTTCTTTTACTCTAGGCAGTTGAGATACATCAGTTGAATAAAACAATACGAAGACAGACATTAAAAAATAAACATACAAAATAAAATGATAAAGATCGTTGCTGTGTTTGAAGTGTCATGGGAAGAAAAGAAAAAGCAAGTTAGGAAGGACTACGGGTTGAGATTGGGGCAGATTCACTTTTAAGTAGGGTAGTCAGGCTAGGCAGTATTGTTAAGGCGAGATTTGAGCAAGGAATTAAAAGTGGTGAAAGTGGACACTGGGGAAGAATAAGCACCTCCTGGAGGGAACGGCTCTAGAAAGACCCTGAGTAGTTGTCTGGAGTATTCAAGCAACAATGAGGGTCTGGAGCTGGAGTCAGAGGGATAAAGGGAAAAGGCAAGGGCTTTTGGAGGTCAGTGTAATGACCTTAGCTTTTACAATGAATGAAATAGGGAGCCACTAGAGGGTTTTAACCAGGTGAGACAGGAGCTGACATTTCTTGTAAGAGGATACCTCGTTGTTGTTTTGACAGTAGACTGAGTTAATGATGGGCAGGGAAATAATTTAGTAGGCCATTAAATTATAATTGAGGCCAGAGAAGATGGAACTAATGAAGGTGAGAGGTGGTGTAATTCTGATTTATTCTGAAGGTACAACCAGCAGGCTTGCTTAACAGATTCCTAGGTGAAGAGGTAAGGATTACTGTTTTTGGCACGGGCAACTAACTATAAGGATGGTGGCATGGTCTTAGTTTTTTTTGAGCAAGGGAGTATTCTAAACTTAAAGCTAAAGTTGCACTAACGTAATCAATCGAGGTGGGTTAGACGTCCATTACTAGGTCATATTCCAAGTATTTTAGGCTTGAAAATTTATTGTAGACATTTTGGTGGAGTGTTGGCTGCTCGAATAGGGGCACTCTTATATGTTCCTAATTTCTAGAATGTCAAATACACAGCCAAAGAAGTCTCAGATCCACTAGACGAGTAATTTCATACATTTCAAATGTCAGGTGGATGTTCTCGGCCGTAAGCCCGTTACTGACGGATTCAGCAGTTCTGACGTTTACACACAAAAGCGGCAGTCAGATGATTTCAGGGCATCTCTCTCAACCGTCACCAACTGACAGACAAGTGGTCCCAAGGCTCAGCGCGGACCTCGTCAGCCCGGGAGCCTCCGCGGCCCACTTGGGCACCGGCACCGCCCCTCCCGCCGCGGACGGCCGCGCGCCGAGGGTGCGGGGGAGGGGTCCCCGCGTGCCTCCACCCAGCCAGGCCGCCATCTTCTGGCGCGTCCTTTCCAGCGCAACAGCGGCGCCCGCTCCCAGACCTCCGCTCGCCAGGGACGGCGCTTCCCAGCCCGCGTGTCCGGGGCGTCCGGAGCGGAGGCCGCCGCCTGGGCGGGGCCGGGGGCGGGGCCGGCGCGGCGGTAGCTGCGCGGCCTGTCTCTCCGCCCGCCCCCAAGCCTGGGCGGGGAGGGCGGGGCCAGGAAGCGGCGAGCGCGCCGGGGAGCGCAGCTGCGGGCTAGGGGGCGGCAGGAGCCGCGGAGCCGGCGCTGAGAGCGGCCGAGGCCGGGGCGGGCGGCCGAGACAAAGGAGGCGGTAAGTGTGACGCCGGCCCCCACACCTCGTCCTCGCAGCCCCTCGGGGACCCGAAGCCGCGACCCCCGACGCCGAGGGCTCCGGGGAGCACAGCTCGGCCCTGCCCGCCTCGCGCTGCGGGCAGCAGGCTGAGCCTGCAGCTCCATTTCAGGTCTGGGCGAGGTCGTCCTGCGGACCCTGCCTTTGGCCTTTTCCTCTTTTCCGTCAGAGAAACGGTTCCGTGCTCAGTGCCACATTACCGGCAGGAGGGCGGCTGAGGAAGCCTGCCGCCTGCCCGGTACAGGATGGAAATGAGACGTCCCCCCTCTCCAACTTTGCCGTTCTGGAAGTCGGGGGGCGGCCCGGCGCGGGCGGGGAGGGCCCGGCTCCTCCAAGGTGAGGGCTCCGGGGGCCACGGTCCCGCTCCGCGCGGACTCCGTCCGGGGCGTCCGGCGCGTTCCTCCGCGGCTCTAACCGCGCTGCTCGAGCCCCGAGAGGAAACCCCGACCGGCCCTTGGAGGAGCTCGTGCTACTCTTACAGGTTGGTTTACCCAGCTCGGGCTGCTTTGGTTGTGATTTTTGTTAACGGGTGTGGTAAGTAGCAGCTCGCTGATGCCGCATTAACAGCCGAGGAGCCCGGGTGGCCTGACTTGCGTACCTGCGTACCGGAAACAACGTTGGGACCCCTCTTTAGCTGCTGTTATTTAAAATAACAAGCTTTTTTAAGGGAGTTCGGTGCAAATGTTCAGGTTACAGAATGAACACGTTTCAGGGCCTGGCATGAAGAGTAGATGGTCAATGAAAATTTGGAGCGAATGGGTCTTCAAACATTAAAGGGGACCTGATATCCAGTAAAATTTAGCACATCTTGACTCATGTTAAGGGAAAAACAACAGCAAACAACGTGTAGTTTGTGTTTATGTGTGTGTTTGGTTTTACCCAGTATATGCATACTGTTGATGAATAATCAGTTATTAATGTTACGGGCATAGAATATATGTTAGAAATGTTGAATTTTTCATTTTGAGGGAAGTTGGTGGATAGTTTTGTTTCCTAAAAATAAGCTTTATTAGTAATTTTCTTTCAAAAGAATGGAGAAGAGGTGGTTGGCCTGTGTTTTGTTCTTTCAAGACCCAGCTTTCTATTTCGTTATGAATAAAGAAGTTTATTTGGTTTTGAGGGACCATAATACGGTCTTGAATTAAAGATTCCTTTGACTCTTTAAGCAAGGGAGAACTCTTTAGGGGAAAAAGAAAACTAATGTCATGCTAATATAATTAAACTATACCATTTATTCAGCAGATCATTAAGCACCTGTTAGGTACTGACAGCTGCGCTGAAAGCGAGTTTCTATGGGCCTACAGAACCCACAGTTACTCTATTCTTAACCTGAGTGTGAAGTTCTTTCCTCATTATGTATGTTTTAACTGGGAAACATGGCAGGTGAACTGCAGAACGTGTAGCTCCAGAACAATAATTAAAGGTTAATAAGTAACTTTACAGGGCTAAATTGGGTTACATCAGTTTAATCTATCTGTATTTTAAAATGAAGGGAGGAGGAGCTTTAAGAAACTAGTTTTTATTCCCTCCTATATTAGGTGATTTTGGTACAGTACATTAAAGAGTAATATACTTCTGGTCCTGTTTTCTGTCAGTAATCTTTGCTGTACAACATTTCTATTTCTTAAAATATCCAAGGAGAAACAATGGATTCCTTTTCTGTAAGAAATGACTTTAAATACAGCACCTTTTCAGAAATTTTTACCTTTTATTCACCATTTATAAGTAAATACAGTATTGACTTGATAGTGCTGAAGAGGGAAGGACTATTAATAATAATTAGTGTTTCCATGTTTGGACTTTCCCTCTACTGTTACAACTGTGATGAACTGCTTACTAAAATGAGAAAGAGATTAGTAATAATTGTATTTATTCAAAATAAAATGTTGCATTGTCTCTTATCTTATTTACATATGATTAAAAGAAAGTACTTATTTGGCCTCTTCACAAGTCCAGATTAATGTGCTCCAAAGTCAGGCTTGCTCATTACAAAATACTGTAGATTAATAATTTTTTTTACAGATAGTTTTTGGATTTAGGTGGACCCTTTTGACCTACTAACACCTTAATATTCTTGAAGATAGCATGTACATTCAAGTAGAATTTTCAGATTTTCAGACTTAATGGCTATTAGCATTAGCTGTTTATGGTTGTTCCTGGGGATGATAAGGAAAGCAGTCCTTTAAATTTTATCAGTAGAGAATTCTGATAGTTTTTCTTTAAATGTCTATTTCTTGTAGGAAGAGTTACATGACAATATACTCCTGATAGTCTAGTGTTGATGAGAAAACTAATAGTAGATTGTAGTAGTGCTGATAAAGAACAATACACACAAGTTGTGATATGTTGAATAAAAAATGCTTGGCATATTTTATTTGGATAAGACCTTTATTAGAGTTTATGACAGTCAGCAGCAGCATTGAGATATGTTAAAATAGTATTTCCAAGAAATAACCCAGAATGACTGTTTTTTTTTTTGTACCTTAAAAAAATACTATACTTGTTTTCAAAGTATTATTACCACCTTGGAGTAGTTCATAATGTTTTGAGGCTAACTAAATTCCAGGATCGTTACATTTTATAATAGTTGGAATGAAATGTTCAGGTTTTCTTCATCTATGTGTGGGTTTTTCTTTTGTTGGTTGGGGGAGTTCACCTTTTTTTTTTTCCCCAGTAATACCCTTTAGAATGATTAGAAAGCTGTTCCTTTATCAGATGTAATTAATAAAGTGATTAAGAATGATGCTAATACGGCATTTTGCAGCTGTGCCCATATTTGCTTAAGTCATGAGAGAGTATCAATTAGTATTTGTATAAAACATTTTTAAAGTGCTTTAAAACAAATTTCACGTTTATACTTTAGGATAGGTTGCTGTTTTTATATCCCAGTTGTCTCTTATCATTAAAGTGTGTGATTTTCAACTGTTTTAAGATATGCCTGGGATATTCCGGTTAAGGCTTTATAAGATTTTTTTCACAATTACAAATTGGTTTTCATCTGTTACAGTATTCTCAATCTCAGCTATTATGAAATAAGTATTTTAACATTAATTTTTACAAGCATTTTGTTGAATGCTAAATGTTGTAATGCTTTTGATCTCTCAGAGGGGGATATTATGGCTTCCCTGTACATTCTTGAGATGAACTGAAATGTGGTTATCCTTAACATTTGCTTACTAGTTAGGTACGGGCATTTAGTCTGATTTTTTTTTCTCTATACTACCTGGAGAAACTTGGAATTCAGCTTATTAATAATTAACTGTAAGCATCCTGGTACCTCAGTTCAAAGCTTAAGTATTCTTGAACCTTTCTATAATACTAATAATGAGCAGAGCAGGATTTAGCTGGAAGTGCTCTGGGATCCCATCCAAAGGGGGAGTTTCTGAACTGAAAGCCAAAAGGCCTTGATAATAACTTGTCTTTTTCATGACACTCTAAAATACCTGCAAATGTATTTTAATCAAAATGGATTATAGTAAAACTCCTCTTTTCCCTAGAAAGCATTAAATAACTCCATGTTAAAGTTAGGTGTCTTTGAAAATTACTAAATGGTGAAACTGATGTGTCTATTTTGTAGCTTACCCACTTAGACATTTATGCTAAGGTTCCTTGCTAAATCATTATGATTGAATTTTTGTAAGCATGCTTTACTAAAACATACTCATTTTGTTTCATTTGATTTAATCTATCATTGTTTGCTTAATAAAGAAAAAAGGAATTTTTCTTATTTGGCATTGTGTATATTTTGCACCTGATTTTATGATGGGTTTATAACCCATTGGATATATTGTTATAACCAGTGGATGTTTGTGGGACTGGTATGTTGAATGGATGGGACTTAAGAAAGTCGAAGCAGAAAACAACTTTCACTGATCCTTCAAACACTCCTTATAGATGAGTCTTTACCAGCTTCTCAATGAGTTCTTAGGATCAGATAACTTTTCTAGTTACTTCTACATAATGAAAAGTCTTCAGCTACTTGTCAGTGATAGGCTAATTTTGGTTATTAGTAGGTGCAGTTCATTATAATTAGTGTTAAAACTCTAACACAATTTAGAACTTCTCTTCCCCAACTCAGAACTGCTTCAGACCTAGAAGCCTGCTTTGGAGGAAGTCATTGTAAACTTCTCTTTTTATTGTGCCAGTTCCTCTCCAGGGTGCTATCTGGATTCACCTGTCGAGGGTCCAGCTCAGTGGGGAAATAGAACTTGGGGAAAGGTACGGTTTTAATATGACTCGTCCTGTTGTGATCTGGCATTGGTGCCATCTGAGTGGGGCAGGTTGTTCAAAGCTGACTCTTTCTCCAGGAGTGCAGACAATGATTTTCCTGGGTGTTCTATGTCTGGGGACCTCCACTGCGATTCCTGTGATACAGTTCTTCTGCTCCAGTCCCTTACCTTCCAGGGTCCCTCATCTGCAGCTCACTTTGCCCTGGGAGATGTTTTGCTCTATTTTTATGGTAGTTCTTTAACATTTTAACCAGACCTGTCCATACTTTAACGTTATTTCATAGACTGAGTTTCAAGCATTCCCCCAGGGCTTCAACATCCTATCATCTTTCAAGCTCCTGCTGTCGAGTACCCTCACTTGAACAGCACGTCTGTATCTGGGACCTAGAATCCGTTGCTGCTACCACCCTTTTTAACTGTCCCAAGCCCCACTTCCTCGATATAGATGGTTTGAATCCATGGTCCACTGTCAGAATTTCTCCCTTTTGTACATCCTCAGTTCCCTGCAGCACTTCTCCAGTCGTTGCATTCACCTGGCAACCTGCTCCCCCAGCGCCCCACCCAGCCAGTCTCCATCTGGTCCAGCCTGTACCTGGCAGTTGAGCATGCCTCAGGAAAACAGGCATGCTGACCCGGTCTTCCTTTAGATTTCATGACCTCTGACCCTCAGGAGGAACCTTCCTGCTGCCTACAGTCCTGTAAGCTTAGTACATTTCCCTAGTTCAGTCACTC